GTACCATCTAAGTCGACTATTCTACAATTAGGAATACCTAAATCCTTTAAATTTGGAGCAAGTTTTAAAATTAGATTAAACTCTCTATCATATATTTGAATTCTATTTACAGTTATACTGGTCATTATATGGGGAAAAGGGAGTGCAGGCATTATATATTTCAGTAAAATTTACTGGCGATAATAACAAGTATTTTAAGGCTTCGATTCGCATTTCCAACTGCTCTTTTGTCATACTGGACGAAGGTGTTGGTTCATCCACTTCGTCGTCACTCAAGGTGAGGTCTATTACTTCCTTATCATAATCCATTGTCCTCACTCCTAGTACCATGATTTAAAATAAGGCTATTTAAGCGAAGAGAAATACTGAGATGGTTTACAATATTATACTCTGAAAGAATTTCATTTGAATTGTACTTGTTAAATGAACAATCAATATTACTGTGGACGGGATGAGACCTTAAGGGAGTCCTGGAACCTCCTAGGATTGGACCTGTAGCATCGAAGTCGACTATTCTACAATTAAGAATACCTAAATCCTTTAAATTTGGAGCAAGTTTTAAAATTAGATTAAACTCTCTATCAGATATTTGAATTCTATTTAAAGTTATACTGGTCATTTGATGGGGAAAAGGGAGTGCAGGCATAATATATTTCAGTAAAATTTACTGGCGACAATAACAAGTATTTTAAGGCTTCGATTCGCATTTCCAACTGCTCTTTTTTCATACTGGACGAAGGTGTTGGTTCATCCACTTCGTCGTCACTCAAGGTGAGGTCTGTTATTTCCTTATCATAATCCATTGTCGTCACTCCTAGTACCATGATTTAAAATAAGGCTATTTAAGCGAAGAGAAATACTGAGATGGTGTACAATATTATACTCTGAAAAAATTTCATTTGAATTGTACTTGTTAAATGAACAATCAATATTACTGTTGTCGGGATAAGACCTTAAGGGAGTCCAGGAACCTCCTAGGATTGGACCTGTACCATCTAAGTCGACTATTCCACAATTAGGAATACCTAAATCCTTTAAATTTGGAGCAAGTTTTAAAATTAGATTAAACTCTCTATCATATATTTGAATTCTATTTAAAGTTATACTGGTCATTTGATGGGGAAAAGGGAGTGCAGGCATTATATATTTCAGTAAAATTTACTGGCGACAATTACAAGTATTTTAAGGCTTCGATTCGCATTTCCAACTGCTCTTTTTTCATACTGGACGAAGGTGTTGGTTCATCCACTTCGTCGTCACTCAAGGTGAGGTCTGTTATTTCCTTATCATAATCCATTGTCGTCACTCCTAGTACCATGATTTAAAATAAGGCTATTTAAGCGAAGAGAAATTCTGAGATGGTGTACAATATTATACTCTGAAAAAATTTCATTTGAATTGTACTTGTTAAATGAACAATCAATATTACTGTTGTCGGGATGAGACCTTAAGGGAGTCCTGGAACCTCCTAGGATTGGACCTGTAGCATCCAAGTCGACTATTCTACAATTAAGAATACCTAAATCCTTTAAATTTGGAGCAAGTTTTAAAATTAGATTAAACTCTCTATCAGATATTTGAATTCTATTTAAAGTTATACTGGTCATTTGATGGGGAAAAGGGAGTGCATTCAACATATATTTTAGTAAAATTTTTTGGCGATAATAACAAGTATTTTAAGGCTTCGATTCGCATTTCCAACTGCTCTTTTGTCATACTGGACGAAGGTGTTGGTTCATCCACTTCGTCGTCACTCAAGGTGAGGTCTATTACTTCCTTATCATAATCCATTGTCGTCACTCCTAGTACCATGATTTAAAATAAGGCTATTTAAGCGAAGAGAAATACTGAGATGGTTTACAATATTATACTCTGAAAGAATTTCATTTGAATTGTACTTGTTAAATGAACAATCAATATTACTGTGGACGGGATGAGACCTTAAGGGAGTCCTGGAACCTTCTAGGATTGGACCTGTAGCATCGAAGTCGACTATTCTACAATTAAGAATACCTAAATCCTTTAAATTTGGAGCAAGTTTTAAAATTAGATTAAACTCTCTATCAGATATTTGAATTCTATTTAAAGTTATACTGGTCATTTGATGGGGAAAAGGGAGTGCAGGCATAATATATTTCAGTAAAATTTACTGGCGACAATAACAAGTATTTTAAGGCTTCGATTCGCATTTCCAACTGCTCTTTTTTCATACTGGACGAAGGTGTTGGTTCATCCACTTCGTCGTCACTCAAGGTGAGGTCTGTTATTTCCTTATCATAATCCATTATGCGTTGGGCAAATCAAGGGAAGCTAAGGGCTGTTATATTATCTACTTTCCACATGGCCAGTCAATTAAAATGGAAAATACATATCAATAATGTGATACAATTAATTATAAAAAAACATTTTTATAATTTTCTAGTACCATGATTTAACCTAAGGCTATTTAAGCGAACAGAATTACTGAGATGGTGTACAATATTATACTCTGAATAAATTTCATTTGAATTGTACTTGTTAAATGAACAATCAATATTACTGTTGTCGGGATAAGACCTTAAGGGAGTCCAGGAACCTCCTAGGATTGGACCTGTACCATCTAAGTCGACTATTCCACAATTAGGAATACCTAAATCCTTTAAATTTGGAGCAAGTTTTAAAATTAGATTAAACTCTCTATCAGATATTTGAATTCTATTTAAAGTTATACTGGTCATTTGATGGGGAAAAGGGAGTGCATTCAACATATATTTTAGTAAAATTTACTGGCGATAATAACAAGTATTTTAAGGCTTCGATTCGCATTTCCAACTGCTCTTTTTTCATACTGGACGAAGGTGTTGGTTCATCCACTTCGTCGTCACTCAAGGTGAGGTCTATTACTTCCTTATCATAATCCATTGTCGTCACTCCTAGTACCATGATTTAAAATAAGGCTATTTAAGCGAAGAGAAATACTGAGATGGTTTACAATATTATACTCTGAAAGAATTTCATTTGAATTGTACTTGTTAAATGAACAATCAATATTACTGTGGACGGGATGAGACCTTAAGGGAGTCCTGGAACCTCCTAGGATTGGACCTGTAGCATCGAAGTCGACTATTCTACAATTAAGAATACCTAAATCCTTTAAATTTGGAGCAAGTTTTAAAATTAGATTAAACTCTCTATCAGATATTTGAATTCTATTTAAAGTTATACTGGTCATTTGATGGGGAAAAGGGAGTGCAGGCATAATATATTTCAGTAAAATTTACTGGCGACAATAACAAGTATTTTAAGGCTTCGATTCGCATTTCCAACTGCTCTTTTTTCATACTGGACGAAGGTGTTGGTTCATCCACTTCGTCGTCACTCAAGGTGAGGTCTGTTATTTCCTTATCATAATCCATTGTCGTCACTCCTAGTACCATGATTTAAAATAAGGCTATTTAAGCGAAGAGAAATACTGAGATGGTGTACAATATTATACTCTGAAAAAATTTCATTTGAATTGTACTTGTTAAATGAACAATCAATATTACTGTTGTCGGGATGAGACCTTAAGGGAGTCCTGGAACCTCCTAGGATTGGACCTGTAGCATCCAAGTCGACTATTCTACAATTAAGAATACCTAAATCCTTTAAATTTGGAGCAAGTTTTAAAATTAGATTAAACTCTCTATCAGATATTTGAATTCTATTTAAAGTTATACTGGTCATTTGATGGGGAAAAGGGAGTGCAGGAAACATATATTTTAGTAAAATTTACTGGCGATAATAACAAGTATTTTAAGGCTTCGATTCGCATTTCCAACTGCTCTTTTTTCATACTGGACGAAGGTGTTGGTTCATCCACTTCGTCGTCACTCAAGGTGAGGTCTGTTATTTCCTTATCATAATCCATTGTCGTCACTCCTAGTACCATGATTTAAAATAAGGCTATTTAAGCGAAGAGAAATACTAAGATGGTGTACAATATTATACTCTGAAAAAATTTCATTTGAATTGTACTTGTTAAATGAACAGTCAATATTACTGTTGTCGGGATGAGACCTTAAGGGAGTCCTGGAACCTCCTAGGATTGGACCTGTAGCATCGAAGTCGACTATTCTACAATTAAGAATACCTAAATCCTTTAAATTTGGAGCAAGTTTTAAAATTAGATTAAACTCTCTATCAGATATTTGAATTCTATTTAAAGTTATACTGGTCATTTGATGGGGAAAAGGGAGTGCAGGCAACATATATTTTAGTAAAATTTACTGGCGATAATAACAAGTATTTTAAGGCTTCGATTCGCATTTCCAACTGCTCTTTTGTCATACTGGACGAAGGTGTTGGTTCATCCACTTCGTCGTCACTCAAGGTGAGGTCTATTACTTCCTTATCATAATCCATTGTCGTCACTCCTAGTACCATGATTTAAAATAAGGCTATTTAAGCGAAGAGAAATACTGAGATGGTTTACAATATTATACTCTGAAAGAATTTCATTTGAATTGTACTTGTTAAATGAACAATCAATATTACTGTGGACGGGATGAGACCTTAAGGGAGTCCTGGAACCTCCTAGGATTGGACCTGTAGCATCGAAGTCGACTATTCTACAATTAAGAATACCTAAATCCTTTAAATTTGGAGCAAGTTTTAAAATTAGATTAAACTCTCTATCAGATATTTGAATTCTATTTAAAGTTATACTGGTCATTTGATGGGGAAAAGGGAGTGCAGGCATAATATATTTCAGTAAAATTTACTGGCGACAATAACACGTATTTTAAGGCTTCGATTCGCATTTCCAACTGCTCTTTTTTCATACTGGACGAAGGTGTTGGTTCATCCACTTCGTCGTCACTCAAGGTGAGGTCTGTTATTTCCTTATCATAATCCATTATGCGTTGGGCAAATCAAGGGAAGCTAAGGGCTGTTATATTATCTACTTTCCACATGGCCAGTCAATTAAAATGGAAAATACATATCAATAATGTGATACAATTAATTATAAAAAAACATTTTTATAATATTCTAGTACCATGATTTAACCTAAGGCTATTTAAGCGAACAGAATTACTGAGATGGTGTACAATATTATACTCTGAATAAATTTCATTTGAATTGTACTTGTTAAATGAACAATCAATATTACTGTTGTCGGGATAAGACCTTAAGGGAGTCCAGGAACCTCCTAGGATTGGACCTGTACCATCTAAGTCGACTATTCTACAATTAGGAATACCTAAATCCTTTAAATTTGGAGCAAGTTTTAAAATTAGATTAAACTCTCTATCATATATTTGAATTCTATTTACAGTTATACTGGTCATTATATGGGGAAAAGGGAGTGCAGGCATTATATATTTCAGTAAAATTTACTGGCGATAATAACAAGTATTTTAAGGCTTCGATTCGCATTTCCAACTGCTCTTTTGTCATACTGGACGAAGGTGTTGGTTCATCCACTTCGTCGTCACTCAAGGTGAGGTCTATTACTTCCTTATCATAATCCATTGTCGTCACTCCTAGTACCATGATTTAAAATAAGGCTATTTAAGCGAAGAGAAATACTGAGATGGTTTACAATATTATACTCTGAAAGAATTTCATTTGAATTGTACTTGTTAAATGAACAATCAATATTACTGTGGACGGGATGAGACCTTAAGGGAGTCCTGGAACCTCCTAGGATTGGACCTGTAGCATCGAAGTCGACTATTCTACAATTAAGAATACCTAAATCCTTTAAATTTGGAGCAAGTTTTAAAATTAGATTAAACTCTCTATCAGATATTTGAATTCTATTTAAAGTTATACTGGTCATTTGATGGGGAAAAGGGAGTGCAGGCATAATATATTTCAGTAAAATTTACTGGCGACAATAACAAGTATTTTAAGGCTTCGATTCGCATTTCCAACTGCTCTTTTTTCATACTGGACGAAGGTGTTGGTTCATCCACTTCGTCGTCACTCAAGGTGAGGTCTGTTATTTCCTTATCATAATCCATTGTCGTCACTCCTAGTACCATGATTTAAAATAAGGCTATTTAAGCGAAGAGAAATTCTGAGATGGTGTACAATATTATACTCTGAAAAAATTTCATTTGAATTGTACTTGTTAAATGAACAATCAATATTACTGTTGTCGGGATGAGACCTTAAGGGAGTCCTGGAACCTCCTAGGATTGGACCTGTAGCATCCAAGTCGACTATTCTACAATTAAGAATACCTAAATCCTTTAAATTTGGAGCAAGTTTTAAAATTAGATTAAACTCTCTATCAGATATTTGAATTCTATTTAAAGTTATACTGGTCATTTGATGGGGAAAAGGGAGTGCATTCAACATATATTTTAGTAAAATTTTTTGGCGATAATAACAAGTATTTTAAGGCTTCGATTCGCATTTCCAACTGCTCTTTTGTCATACTGGACGAAGGTGTTGGTTCATCCACTTCGTCGTCACTCAAGGTGAGGTCTATTACTTCCTTATCATAATCCATTGTCGTCACTCCTAGTACCATGATTTAAAATAAGGCTATTTAAGCGAAGAGAAATACTGAGATGGTTTACAATATTATACTCTGAAAGAATTTCATTTGAATTGTACTTGTTAAATGAACAATCAATATTACTGTGGACGGGATGAGACCTTAAGGGAGTCCTGGAACCTTCTAGGATTGGACCTGTAGCATCGAAGTCGACTATTCTACAATTAAGAATACCTAAATCCTTTAAATTTGGAGCAAGTTTTAAAATTAGATTAAACTCTCTATGAGATATTTGAATTCTATTTAAAGTTATACTGGTCATTTGATGGGGAAAAGGGAGTGCAGGCATAATATATTTCAGTAAAATTTACTGGCGACAATAACAAGTATTTTAAGGCTTCGATTCGCATTTCCAACTGCTCTTTTTTCATACTGGACGAAGGTGTTGGTTCATCCACTTCGTCGTCACTCAAGGTGAGGTCTGTTATTTCCTTATCATAATCCATTGTCGTCACTCCTAGTACCATGATTTAAAATAAGGCTATTTAAGCGAAGAGAAATACTGAGATGGTGTACAATATTATACTCTGAAAAAATTTCATTTGAATTGTACTTGTTAAATGAACAATCAATATTACTGTTGTCGGGATGAGACCTTAAGGGAGTCCTGGAACCTCCTAGGATTGGACCTGTAGCATCCAAGTCGACTATTCTACAATTAAGAATACCTAAATCCTTTAAATTTGGAGCAAGTTTTAAAATTAGATTAAACTCTCTATCAGATATTTGAATTCTATTTAAAGTTATACTGGTCATTTGATGGGGAAAAGGGAGTGCAGGAAACATATATTTTAGTAAAATTTACTGGCGATAATAACAAGTATTTTAAGGCTTCGATTCGCATTTCCAACTGCTCTTTTTTCATACTGGACGATGGTGTTGGTTCATCCACTTCGTCGTCACTCAAGGTGAGGTCTGTTATTTCCTTATCATAATCCATTGTCGTCACTCCTAGTACCATGATTTAAAATAAGGCTATTTAAGCGAAGAGAAATACTAAGATGGTGTACAATATTATACTCTGAAAAAATTTCATTTGAATTGTACTTGTTAAATGAACAGTCAATATTACTGTTGTCGGGATGAGACCTTAAGGGAGTCCTGGAACCTCCTAGGATTGGACCTGTAGCATCGAAGTCGACTATTCTACAATTAAGAATACCTAAATCCTTTAAATTTGGAGCAAGTTTTAAAATTAGATTAAACTCTCTATCAGATATTTGAATTCTATTTAAAGTTATACTGGTCATTTGATGGGGAAAAGGGAGTGCAGGCAACATATATTTTAGTAAAATTTACTGGCGATAATAACAAGTATTTTAAGGCTTCGATTCGCATTTCCAACTGCTCTTTTGTCATACTGGACGAAGGTGTTGGTTCATCCACTTCGTCGTCACTCAAGGTGAGGTCTATTACTTCCTTATCATAATCCATTGTCGTCACTCCTAGTACCATGATTTAAAATAAGGCTATTTAAGCGAAGAGAAATACTGAGATGGTTTACAATATTATACTCTGAAAGAATTTCATTTGAATTGTACTTGTTAAATGAACAATCAATATTACTGTGGACGGGATGAGACCTTAAGGGAGTCCTGGAACCTCCTAGGATTGGACCTGTAGCATCGAAGTCGACTATTCTACAATTAAGAATACCTAAATCCTTTAAATTTGGAGCAAGTTTTAAAATTAGATTAAACTCTCTATCAGATATTTGAATTCTATTTAAAGTTATACTGGTCATTTGATGGGGAAAAGGGAGTGCAGGCATAATATATTTCAGTAAAATTTACTGGCGACAATAACAAGTATTTTAAGGCTTCGATTCGCATTTCCAACTGCTCTTTTTTCATACTGGACGAAGGTGTTGGTTCATCCACTTCGTCGTCACTCAAGGTGAGGTCTGTTATTTCCTTATCATAATCCATTATGCGTTGGGCAAATCAAGGGAAGCTAAGGGCTGTTATATTATCTACTTTCCACATGGCCAGTCAATTAAAATGGAAAATACATATCAATAATGTGATACAATTAATTATAAAAAAACATTTTTATAATATTCTAGTACCATGATTTAACCTAAGGCTATTTAAGCGAACAGAATTACCGAGATGGTGTACAATATTATACTCTGAATAAATTTCATTTGAATTGTACTTGTTAAATGAACAATCAATATTACTGTTGTCGGGATAAGACCTTAAGGGAGTCCAGGAACCTCCTAGGATTGGACCTGTACCATCTAAGTCGACTATTCTACAATTAGGAATACCTAAATCCTTTAAATTTGGAGCAAGTTTTAAAATTAGATTAAACTCTCTATCATATATTTGAATTCTATTTACAGTTATACTGGTCATTATATGGGGAAAAGGGAGTGCAGGCATTATATATTTCAGTAAAATTTACTGGCGATAATAACAAGTATTTTAAGGCTTCGATTCGCATTTCCAACTGCTCTTTTGTCATACTGGACGAAGGTGTTGGTTCATCCACTTCGTCGTCACTCAAGGTGAGGTCTATTACTTCCTTATCATAATCCATTGTCCTCACTCCTAGTACCATGATTTAAAATAAGGCTATTTAAGCGAAGAGAAATACTGAGATGGTTTACAATATTATACTCTGAAAGAATTTCATTTGAATTGTACTTGTTAAATGAACAATCAATATTACTGTGGACGGGATGAGACCTTAAGGGAGTCCTGGAACCTCCTAGGATTGGACCTGTAGCATCGAAGTCGACTATTCTACAATTAAGAATACCTAAATCCTTTAAATTTGGAGCAAGTTTTAAAATTAGATTAAACTCTCTATCAGATATTTGAATTCTATTTAAAGTTATACTGGTCATTTGATGGGGAAAAGGGAGTGCAGGCATAATATATTTCAGTAAAATTTACTGGCGACAATAACAAGTATTTTAAGGCTTCGATTCGCATTTCCAACTGCTCTTTTTTCATACTGGACGAAGGTGTTGGTTCATCCACTTCGTCGTCACTCAAGGTGAGGTCTGTTATTTCCTTATCATAATCCATTGTCGTCACTCCTAGTACCATGATTTAAAATAAGGCTATTTAAGCGAAGAGAAATACTGAGATGGTGTACAATATTATACTCTGAAAAAATTTCATTTGAATTGTACTTGTTAAATGAACAATCAATATTACTGTTGTCGGGATAAGACCTTAAGGGAGTCCAGGAACCTCCTAGGATTGGACCTGTACCATCTAAGTCGACTATTCCACAATTAGGAATACCTAAATCCTTTAAATTTGGAGCAAGTTTTAAAATTAGATTAAACTCTCTATCATATATTTGAATTCTATTTAAAGTTATACTGGTCATTTGATGGGGAAAAGGGAGTGCAGGCATTATATATTTCAGTAAAATTTACTGGCGACAATAACAAGTATTTTAAGGCTTCGATTCGCATTTCCAACTGCTCTTTTTTCATACTGGACGAAGGTGTTGGTTCATCCACTTCGTCGTCACTCAAGGTGAGGTCTGTTATTTCCTTATCATAATCCATTGTCGTCACTCCTAGTACCATGATTTAAAATAAGGCTATTTAAGCGTAGAGAAATTCTGAGATGGTGTACAATATTATACTCTGAAAAAATTTCATTTGAATTGTACTTGTTAAATGAACAATCAATATTACTGTTGTCGGGATGAGACCTTAAGGGAGTCCTGGAACCTCCTAGGATTGGACCTGTAGCATCCAAGTCGACTATTCTACAATTAAGAATACCTAAATCCTTTAAATTTGGAGCAAGT